GCATTTTATCATAAACCAGTTGGCGGCCGCACGCATTGCGCGCGCAACACAGATCTGCGGCGAATTTTGATGGTGCGACGAAAAATTTTCAAATTTGGCTTGATACACCACGAATATCTGAATTCTCAGCTAAATTCTATCCGCTCCATCATCGACGGCTTTCAACCTCTTTTTCTTCGTCAACCATTATTCTCTTTTTCCCGGTCTCCGGTGCTCCAGGGCAGTAAATCTCGCGGCCTCCACTCCTCCTCCCATTGTATGCCATTCCAACCTACCTTTTCCGGCCTCCGGGACTTCTTGGAGCCGAGTTATGAATTTTCGTCGCAAACTCCGCCCACTTTGGTCAAGCCCCGCCCACCGATGACAGCTGGCCTCCACTCCTCCACCCACCTCCATCCACCTTTTCCGGCTCATTAAGACTTCCCCGGCCCCGAATTATGAGGACTCGTAGAAAATGCTTCAGAACGCGCTCCACCCCCTGTGGGCGGGGCCTCCGCCCACATCATGTATGCTGGGAACACCTTAGACATTGCTCCCCTACACCAATTTGTTTTCTGCTCTGTAGGCTTTCTCCCAACCGAGTTATGAAATTTTTCATAAAGCACTGCTTTTTTGAGAACGCCCCGCCCACCGGGGGTGGGTCTCCCTAATTCGATGTGACTTACCAATGCACACCTTTACCCACTTTTTGGCCCAGTTTCAAGGTCGTTTTTCTAAGAGATCTTAAAATCTCGGTCGTCAGTACACTTCATGTCGACGCACGCCACGCCCACTGTGGGCGGGGCTCCGCTTAGCTGATGTGTGTTTTGTACTTCGTGAGACCTTGCCCACCCGTCCCACACTTGACCCGGTCCCTCCAGGCGGATCCCGAGGAGCTAGGGAATTTCGTGACAGACATACAGAACGACAGACGAAGCGCTTTATAGTAGTAGGATAGGATGACAGAGGATTCTTTTTTTTTTAGAAGACAAGAACTATGCTGAAATGATTCACTCTTCTTTCTGACCTAACCCTATCCACTGTACATGCGTGGTTCGGCGCCCTTTATTGCTGTCCGTTTAGAGCTACTATGCCATCCTACTATAATCGACTTTGAATTACAGCGTTATATTCTGTCGTTTACCGCGACCCACATCTACCATATTTGATTGCATTCTTTTCAGGACCATCCAGTGAATGAGCGGCAGCCTCAGTACTGAACGGGATGTTGTGTTTTGGGACATGATGGAGCCAGCTGGCGATGCATGTTGTGGGGCCACTGCTCGAGCTCTGGATATGTTCAATCGTCGTGGTTCGGTGATTGCCGTCGTGATAGGAGGTTGGTGCTGGAGTAGTACAGCAGATAATAGATTAGTACTGCCATACAAGGCAGCACTGCTAGCGACAAATTTGTTGCCAAAATTTGGAGTGGGCGCTAAGAACTTACGGGGCCACAACTACGGGCTCTCTTGAAGAACTAGTGCTACAACCTGTTCTCGTTATGGATGGGTATCTAGAAAATCCGAAATATTTATCATTATTATTTATTGTTTATTATTATTTATTGGTCATTATTTACTTATTATTCATTTATTTATTATTTATATATTTATTTTTTTTTTTACAGGTAACACGCCCGAGTTGGTCTCGTCGTGCACCGCTTCTTCCTCGTCGGTTATACCGTCGGATCATCCGTCCTCTTGTTCAGACATGGAAACGCTAGGCTCCATTGATCCACAGAGGTCAGCCTTTTTAATTATCACTTATTTGCGCTATCGCAATTCACGGGGGCATGCTCTACGACTGAGCCTACGAGGGGGATAGGAAAATTTCGGGGGGGGGTGGATGGATGAATGACTAGCGCACTCTGCTCTGCACTCAAAATCCTCATAGACATGTTGTTGCGCGATTTTGAGTGGATTGTCTCCAGCAAGTGCCACCGCCTTAGCGGATAGCGAGCCCTTTTGGTTGCTTACTTGGAAATGCCTTAATGGTTTTTAATACGCTCTAAGGCTCCTGTGGCAGGGTAGTGAAGGACTATCTTGGCGTTCTTAAGAGCTTTATTTTTATTATGATAATTAAATTACCCGCCGAGAATTCGAGCTGGTTTCGTTCAATAATCGCAAGGAGAATAAATAGGGACCCTTGCTCAACCCTCCACTGTCAAACTGCCCCATATGAATTTCCTGCTAAAATCCGCCATCTCACCGTCCTCATTCCGTACAGTTACCTCGGAATGAACCCAACTTGCAGCCTTCAATTTGAGCCACCCGCGAGATTTCAACTACGTCTTTTTTAGAAGTTCATACCATTTATCTCTTTTTACAAAACATATGTTATTGATTTTTGTGCTCTAGTTCTAACTAGGGGGACATCGCAATTTTGTGATCGGGTGGAATTTTTTAGATCAGAAGCTGGCAACAAATAATCGTCTCCCTTTCTATCCGCACAAAAGCACAGCTAGATTATAATGTAACAGCTTTAAGGGCTAGAATTAGTCACTCGAATAGTCCGATCGGGAGAGGGAAAGGAGATGGTACTCGGATTGGGTTAGGGTTGCTGAGATAATCAGTCGTGGGGAGACGCTTCATGTGTGGGCTAGAGCCCCCAAACAGCTTCCAACTCCCTTGATTCCCCCTCCCTCAATCTCCGCCTAAAGATAGGATTTCTACTAGAAGGCAAAATTTTCAATTCTTCCTCTCAAACAAGTCTTCGCCCACTTCCCGGTTCGTCCGCACCAGCGTGGTCCCCGCTCGCACGCATCCGTCGCCTGACGGCCCAGCCCCCGATCTCGCATTCGCAAGCTTCTATGTAGAAGACGTGGGAAGAGAAGAAAATAGAGCTTCTGAGAATTTGGAAACATTTCCACAAAATAAAGGGGTTTTTGTGGATTTACACTGTCTCAGTGGGACGTATTCCTTTATGCACTCTCAAAATTCGCCGGGATTAGAAGATAAGTAGACAGATGGCAGTCAGCAGTGGTGGGGCTACCAGAGAGAAATAAACGGGGTCCTGGTCTGAAAACCCCTTCAAGAGCAAGGGGTGACCATAAAATTCATCCCGATGAATTTGCTGACCTTGCCTCCATTTGCCATTCAAAAACATTTTTATCTTCTATGATTATTATTACGTTATGGCATATAAGTTATGTCATGTCTATCAAATCTACCTGAATGCCCACGAGCAGCAAATGGAAAGCGGCTTTACAAAAATGATTATTTTGGCGCGTTATTTTTGTCGCGATTGATTGACCGCGGGTTATAGCCCCATTTGGACGCGATGTTTTGAACGTGCTTCGTCGCCAACGCTTCAGATTAAACTTTAATTTAATCTTGTTTTGTGGCAATGTTTGCGAAAAGATTCTTGCAATTTTCACCAGCTTGTTTTTCACGAGTTTCAGGAGCAAAACAAAACCAAAGAGCATTTCAGGCACTTTGGGCAAAAGCAAACGGATGACTAAGCTGAATCCAAGCACCTAACTAAAGAACACCTAGCGGAACCCAGATTTCAATTGGGACAGCGTCGTCCCCTATTAAGGAGCGGCTGGTGTAGGGGCTTACTTGAAAGTGCGTAAATATTTGAAGGGGTACCCGGATCACCTTAAAAGCTGGGTGGAGAATTTTGGAAGGGTGAACCATTGTGGCCCTTTTTGCGGTGTGGCATCGTGGGCGAAGACATTAATTGGTACTGGTATGGTAAAATATTTGCCAAAGAAAAAACCCTACTGGTCCTCTCAACATAACTTCTAACCGGCACTCACATAATTTATTGCGAAGGCGAACATGGTCTTATTGTGGAGCTAGCCATTGCTCGAAGTGGGGAAACTCCCAGAAAAGCTAGGAAAAATCTCATGACTGTTCTTGTTTTGTTCATAATTCATAACCCCGTCCTTAACCTGCCGCCAAGTGCATGGTCGCCGGGTTCGACTCCTCGATGCAACAATGTTTTGCCCATAGTCAGCACACCGCCTGATAACTTTTCGAGAAACACAACAAGCAACAGCCATCGATTTTGTCGCAATCATTCTGCAGAACGAATGCTGGGTTCTCTTGATACCCGAATCCACTCCGTGAAGGGGATACTCCCCTATATGATCATGTCGTTTGTAGTCTTGCCGGAGAAAAGGAAGCTGAATCTTATTTCTGAATGATATCACTTTCCAAAATCCAATCTTTGGCTCTGGTGTGATTCTCAGAGGCTAGCCAGAGTAAAGCTCCTGATACTGGTTATGGGACATGTGCATGGCGAATCACGAGATCATTAATTTTTCGTTTTTCCAAGTATCAAACTTTGTTTCAGTGATTGGCGGCCACCGTATCCGCGTTTAATTGCATTCCATGACTGCCTTTCACTTGCTTCCGCTTGGTCACTTGGTCTCAATCCGTCACTGCTCGATGACAGACCCACTGGTATGTTTGTTTTTTAACGTTTCTTAACCACTCTTTCAAGTACCTCTGCAATTTTTGAATAGAAATGAAATGCATGACGCATCCGGAATGTCCGCGCTCGGGGTTTATCCTCCCTCATTCCCTGTGTGTTTCAACTACTTATTTTTCGATATTGTGTTTGATCTCTTCAAGCCAGGCAACACGAAACAAATACCCTCCATAGACACGTTTAGCACGAGTTTTACACAAACAATGACCTCGAGTTGTTTATACTTCCGTAGGCTAATAAAAGATTGCTATTTCCAGTATATAATATTTCTAGTCTAATCGTTAGGAAATTAGGCATTTCTTTGTTTTTTTTAATACGGAGTTGGTTTTTATCAGAAAATCATCCTGATACATTTCTACATTCCCTTACTTTCCGTTCCAAAAGCAAACAATTGAGTCTCAAAATTGAACAAAGGGCAGTGGCTAGGGAAAATCGCAATGGCAAGGAATGTCAAACACACTCCAGCCATGCATGTCTTTCTTCCCTACGAATGCGTTTTGGGATGGGGTTTGACGATTTTGAATTGGATCATTCCTTGGTCATCAGCGGAAGGAACCACCAAGTACTTGATAAATTTTGATTTTGATGTTGATATTGAATCATGTTTCCACATTTCCATCTTATATTTGAGTCTCTCATAATTTGTGAGTTTCCAAATGGGTCCAAATGGGTAGTGAGATAACTTCAAACCTGGCACTTACATAATCTTTTGGAAAAGCAAACATGGTCTTATTGTGGAGCTAGTCATTGCTCGAAGTGGGAAAACTCCCAAGAAAAGTAGGAAAAATCTTATAACCTGTTTTTCTTTTGTTCATAATCCATAACCTTGTCCTTAACCTGCCCGCTAAGTGCATGGTCCCGGTTCGATTCTCGGATGCAACAAGTTTTGCCCATAGCAGCACCCTCCTGAGATAACTTTTCGAGAAAAACAGCAACAAGCAACACCCATCAATTCGTCGGCAATCACCCTGCTGAGGATCCACCTCAAAAAACCTTGAACCGAGATCAAATGCGTGGCTCATTAAGAAGGTTTTATATGTCGTCAAGTAAGCTCACCCTAAAGAGGGTTTTCAAAGCAACAGCGGCTATCGCACGCGCTTTGAATAAAATGATATACGAGAAACCACTATCAGAAGAAGTTTGGTTCTTAGAACTAAGAGGCCCGGCTTCCGCAAGACGCGTAGTAAAACACGAAACCCACTATGGCTGTCTACATTCCTTCAGCTTAAACTGATAACAAAAACAGGAAATGACTTCACAGTAAAAAAAAGGAAGCGCCCGGAACATTTGCTCATCATTTTTCTCAACTTCCGAATTATGATCCGATTGATTCCTGAGCCCAGGCTTAAAGGAATCTTCCACGGAAAAAGCTCCGCCCTCATTACCACAGAAAACGATACCTTAAAGGAATCTTCCACGGAAAGAGTGATCATTTTGTCTTGTGTGTAGGATTAGTATTATCGAAACTAACGCTTATGTTCCGTTCTTTTTGCTATGCTCATGAGGCTAGGGGCCTAAGGGGTATCGTTTTTCTAGGGTAATGGAGGCGGAGCTTTTTCCGCGGAAGATTCCTTTAAACGACCCGAGATGATCACTTATGACAGTTCAGGCATGGAAAGTCATTTGATCCCATATCTAAAGGGAAGCTCTCGCGATAAGCTAATGCAGTTGAAATGAAATGTATGGATGTAGAGATGCCAAGTGGTCAGAAATTCGGAAAACAGCATTCTCCTCTCCCCAGTTGATTATTTAACAACGGTGTTGACGACCACTGACGCCGGCGGCTGATGCAGCAACTTGTTCTTTAGTCATACTGCTAGTATGTATGTTCATTAGTTAACGTTATAATAATATTTAATCTGACTGCGCAGAGTGTTCATCCTTTAAGGGCAAGAATCAGGATCAAATTGATGGGTTAATCAGACCCAAATGTGAAAGCAGGGATGGGGAGGGGGGAGTGGACCGCCAATGGATGAAAAAAGGCAAAGACAAATACCCTGGACATACAAGCTAACAAGAGACTTTAAAGACAGCAGGGAGATGAGAGATTATGTGAAAGCGGAGAGCGTAGAGAAGTCCAAGCAGAGAGAGAGAGAGTCCAAGCATCGCAGATCAACGCAGCGACGCAGACAAGATATCGAACGGTGGGCGGACCATGTTAAGTTTGGTGGAGTCTGTTAGAAGTCCATGGCGCCTAGGGTCCTAGTGACGCGTTTCGATGTAGAAAGGTGGCGCTACCTTTGCACTTGCGTACCAGCACTTCTAGCCATGGTAAGGGCTTCTTAGGTGGGTCTGAGCCCGAACTTTGCCTTTAAGCGGAAGCGAAAGCTGAAAATTATGAGGGATCAAGGTGGGGGTGCTTCGATATGGAGAAGACTAATCGCACAGCTACCTTGGAGGTGGTCGGCAAGGGTACGGCATGGTCTCTATTGAAGGGTCTAGGACTCTGGTGGAATACCTTTTCGTAAAATTTTGATAGGCGCTTTTCGCAGAAAAAACACACGAGGGTCTTCTATTTTTTTTCCTTTTTCTTTGGAAAAATTTCCGAAAAGAACCCCTGTAACATCCAAGGGTCGAACATTTATTGAATATCATTCTTAACTGAAATTTATGTTATTTTCTTGACCTTCTCTACCTCTACAGTACCTACCTTTCCCTTGTCGTAGTGCATGTAATTTTATCGGCACTAGTTTGGCTTAACACATACCCAAAGCCAGCCCGAACGCTTCCCATATCCCCTCTGTAAGAATGATAATCTATTAGGGTCACTAAATATATGGTAACATCATATCTGACGCCTGCTGCACCTCAAAATCAACCCACATTAATGTCTTCCCCACGACTGTGATTGGGAAGTCGGATGCGTGCGCAATCCGAAGAAAGGACCCCAACGCCGACTATTCTTCAAATTCAAGACAAAATCTTTTAGGAGCCTCTCAAGCGCAATCACCATGCGAAGACGATTCCGGTGACGGCAAATCGAACGAGATGCTGGCCAGTTGCCCAGCATTCAGGTAACCCCATAATCACTTTTTCTTTACTCTGATCTTCACTTTTCTATTCTTTATTCACCAAAGAAGTCTTTTTAACTAGTTGTGAACTACAAACAGTGACAGTCTCAAGTTATTGTTTCATTTTTATGCATATGATTTTCCGGGTTTTTGTAGAATTTTTATGCAAACTTTTATGCATGAAACTTTTTCTGAGACCAAACAATATTCATCATCGGATTTTGCGCTATCGTAAGATACAGGGGCATCTTCTATGACTAACGCTAGAAAACTGCAGGTTTGTCGGTGAAAATGAGAATTGCTCACACACTCTGCAGTCTCTCCTAAGCCTCATACTTCGTCTTCCCTTAAAGAGAGAGTTTTTACGCGATTTTAGTGCATTGCCACCAGAAATGCCCCCGTATCTTAGCGCCCAAAATTTTCTTAATTTTCAGTCTGATTTTGCTACTTTTTATCCTGCCCATCAAATGATACCTGTTTTCAATAGAGATTACCTTTGGGGAGTTTAAATGTGTGTAAATAAATACCGCATCAAAACTAACGCCAAATGAAAACAGGTCAGCATTTGTCGTCTTATCCATTGGCTATTTAATAAAGCGAAAAAATAATCAAATGTCGTAAAATACAACATAATATTGATGATTGGCCCAGATCTGTGAGAAGCTGTTTCCATTATTTTTCCCATATAAAAATGAGCAATGGGGAACGAAAAGTAGAACTTCGCTCTGCAAAGTCACGCTGCTAGTTTTGGTCGCCGAATGACGAATTGGCGGAAGTGCCGATTTATTCTCGCAGCTTAAGAGGCGAGTTGTGGTCTCTGAAGCTTCGCCTACGCATCCATAAAAAGTGCCCGTGCACCAAAGCCCATCACGTCAGCTGCTTTCCACAGCGGGGCGGTCACATAATATAGCCATAATTCAAGAGAGCCTCATTAGTCTGTCAAATTAAGCTTTGCACGAGTTGATCCATCCTTAAAATGGCCCGAATCGGTACAGTAGCCCAAATCGCTGCACAAAGTTGGATTTTCAGTGAGAAATCAGATATGAGACAAGAAAAGAGAAAGATAGAAGACCGGGAAAGGAAAGCCTGCACCTCCATCTCTGAAGTATATGAAGAGATCCTAAAGTAAAACAGAGGGCAAATGTAGCGTAGTAGCAAGAAACGCCCTTCCACGTACACGGTCCGCGAACAAATCTCGGATCGAATCAAAGCCTACCAAGCCTTCAACCCATCCGCTGATGTTCAATTAGTAATTGGGTTGATGTTACACTAAATTAATGACTTGTAAATCGGCTGCTGCCCTCAAGTCATTGTATATGCCTATCGAGTTTCAAGTACAATATGATTTTGAATAGAAGTAGAATGCGTGGCGCATCCTAAAAGGGATTCGTCCGTGCTAAGAAGCTTTTTTCCTTTGTATTGGAAACAGATCGCTCGAGCGCGGAGAACCGTAGAGCGAATGGTGCCGCATACTATGCTCACATATAGGGGGTTCAAATCCTAGTTTAAACTTGCCCAGGCCAGGGAAAGCTCCCGCCGGTTGGCTAGTCAGTAATAAAAGTCATCTGAAGAGCATAAACTCACCGATTTTGCACATACCCTGGCTCTCGCAAGTCATTGCATGAGCCCCATTGAATTCAAATGTCATGATGTTTTTGATGAATTCAGCAATGCATGGCGCATACTTTGAACACGGTTAAACGCGAATCCTTTACTCTTCTTGTCCTTGTGAACATGTCCTGGCACAAATGAACATTAAAGAACTAAATTAAGTCAAAATGTATGATATCCGACGATAACATGCAGGTACAAATTATTCTAAACCTTGGCGCTCCGTTCTGAATGATCTTTTGGATTGATGGCCGTAGAGGCAGAATTTCATCAAATATTAAATTTTAATGTATGGGTCCGGCTAGAAGCGTCAACTATCAAGTTGACCCACATTGTAGTGACCGAGATTCGAATAACGCGCGTGAATAGGGACCCTTTCCTAAAGGTCCAACTAAGGCGGTATTCCGGACGTAGAAATGGCTATTTCTTGAGTTCACGCCTATTTTTTGCTTTTGCTGCAAGAATGTAACCCCCTGTTGATCATGTTTTTCGCAAGACTCCCATAATGAACATGAGTGTTTTCGTAGAAAATTATCTACACATCTTTCAGAAATGAACTTGGAGCGAGCCGACACGACGGGTGGCCCTCTCTCGGCACACATGCGATGGTCCATTGGAAGCACACGAATGTGAGAGTTGGCTGAAGAGAGGTGAGACCCGTTTGAGCTGTAATGAAGCTCATACCGTAAACCCTGTTATCCGTTCAGCATACCGCCGCTGCTGCCGGCATTCTTGAAGACGTCTCCAATGTCTATCTGGGTGGTCGATTGTGTGCTGCTCGACAGCCGAAAAACGTCATCGAACCACAGGACATCGGTTCCTATTACTATCGGCATTGCTTTGCGGGACGAGGTTTGTCATTTTGCGGTCAACTAAAGCAGGGGTTCGAGTAATTTGAAACCCGGAAAAAACCCTTTTACCTTAAGTTTCCCTCCTGTGCTTGATTTAGCTACATATTAATTGGTTGTTTTTTTTTTGCTACACTATCAAGATCGGTGGTTTAGGAAAATGAAAGAATAAAAAAATACGGAAAGGTAGTTTACGACATAGATGCAAATAGTACGTGTATTTTCTCCTTGTGGGCGGGGCTTTTGCGAGGGAGGCCTTAGACGCGACACGTCGCACACTGCTCGCCATTGATTTGGTTGAGTTTCAGATAGGTTCTTAACTGCTGAGTTTTGAAGGAAAGACCTACTGTTTACGGAAGAGCAGTTGAAGCTGACATTTTGTGAGAAGGATTTGCATTATGTTGGAGAATGTGGTCAAGCGTAAAAAAAAAACTCGCGTCTGTGGCAGCACGAGTAAAACCTTTAGTGGCGTTATTGTTATCAAAATTCACTGAGTTAATGGTCAAAGATCAGTTTCCTATAGGAGCTACAGTTAGCGTGGGTAAATGGTTTAGCGTTGGTTTAGGTGTAGAAGTGATGCCGCCTACCTTGGCCACGTTCTGGGGTCTATATCGCATCGAGCCTCACCTATGGCAGCAACAATTTTCATCTTGCCACGAGGACTTAAAGGCACACCTTACGATCAAACTTGTGAGGATGTTGGACAAGAAAAGTGACAGCAGGGCAATAAGTGACAGCAGGTGAATAAGGGACCAGTAGTGAAGAAAAACGAAAAGAACTCGTCGAGAACGCTAGAATTAAGACCAGACTTGTTTCGGGATTCGGTTAAGCTAAGATAGTGGTCACTGTAGGTGAAGAGGAGAGGATAGGAAAACGGACACAACGAATGAGAACACGAAGACACCCATGATGCGACTTAGGAAAAGGGAAGCGAAGGAAGCTCTTTTAGGACTGCTCTGGCGCACTTTTGAGCTGAAAGAAGACGCCTGCGACTGTAGTGGACAGTTATATATTACCCACCCAAGCAATTTCTGCATTTGAATTCATCGTTAATTAGGCCTTCAATTAATACCATGGCTGTCTGTGAAGATAAGAAAGCGCTCTGAAGAGCGACCTACCCTCGCTAGTCTTAGAATAGGCCAAACTACATGGAAAATGTGGAACGCGTTACATTCACCTTGAAGTATTGGTCAGCAGAGCCTAAAGCTTTATCCCTTCACAATCAGGGCGAGTGGGTCAGCCCTTACGTTAGCCTTCGCTTGACCCCGCTTGAGGATTGTTTGGTGAGCTTTGTCGTTACCAATCCTGTCCACTTTCCTCCTTCTCACTCAAATGAACTACTTCAGTTCACTTCAGGACACTGAGCTGTGATGCATAACATATGCCTCCGGGCCGTGCTGGTTTTTATAGCCCTGCGTGTAGATTACACACAGGATTTCGGCGGTGACATAACTCTATGACTAATAGCTTCCGACAGTGAATTGAATAGCTGCTACGTGTAGTGAGTCGTGATGAATAGGCAGGGAGGAACCCCGGAATTTTTAGTTAAGTTAGCTGAATCGTATTAGAAAATTCGCAAAATGATAGATTTTGAGCCAGTCTGACAAACAGTCCCTCTCAGTTACCCGTTTGTCGATTAATGACTTTCGTACCGTACACAGCTCTTTTTTCACCTGCAGAAAAAATCGGAATTTGAATGGAAAAATATCGGGTAAACCTTAGCAGCTCTCATTCATCAGTGGTCTTATTACAGTACTAGTATGATCGAACTTTGATATAATTTTCTTCTTTCAGCACATGTAGAATATTTCGGTGTCGACGACGAGCTCGGCCCCATAGCGGTCAGTATGGAACTTCGTATAATGACTAAATAAAAGCAAAATCCTCCTTCGCACGTTCTCGATCGCTATTAATATGATATAGTAGTTGATTGATTGGCCCAGATCTGTGAGAAGAAGGCTGTTTCCATTATTTTTCCCATATAAAAATGAGCAATGGGGACGAAAAGTAGAACTTCGCTCTGCAAAGTCACGCTGCTAGTTTTGGTCGCCGAATGACGAATTGGCGGAAGTGCCGATTTATTCTCGCAGCTTAAGAGGCGAGTTGTGGTCTCTGAAGCTTCGCCTACGCATCCATAAAAAGTGCCCGTGCACCAAAGCCCATCACGTCAGCTGCTTTCCACAGCGGGGCGGTCACATAATATAGCCATAATTCAAGAGAGCCTCATTAGTCTGTCAAATTAAGCTTTGCACGAGTTGATCCATCCTTTAAATGGCCCGAATCGATACAGTAGCCCAAATCGCTGCACAAAGTTGGATTTTCAGTGAGAAATCAGATATGAGACGAGAGAAAAGAGAAAAGACAGAAGACAGACAAAGGAAAAGATGCATGGTCTCTTGAAAGTATGAGAGATTCTAAAGTAAAACAGAGGGCAAATGTAGCGTAGTAGCAAGAAACGCCCTTCCACGTACACGGTCCGCGAACAAATCTCGGATCGAATCAAAGCCTACCAAGCCTTCAACCCATCCGCTGATGTTCAATTAGTAATTGGGTTGATGTTACAACTAAATCAATGACTTGTAAATCGCTCTGCCCTCAAGTCATCGAATCCCTAATCGAGTTCAAGTACAATTCCGAACTGAATAAAGTAAAACGCGTGGCGCATCCTAAACAAGATTCGCCCGTGCTGGAAGCTTTTTCCTTTGTATTTGTAAACAGATAGTAGAGGCGGAGCACGCGTAGAGCAAATGGCGCCCTATACTACGCGCCTGATTCAGGCAGGGGTCAAGCCCTTCTTCGAACCTGGCACAGGCCAAGAAAGCCCTCCATCCCTCCGAATTTGACTAATCGGTACTAAACTTATCTGTAGCATAAAATCACTGATTTTCCACATCGCCTGGCTCTAGCAAGACATTGCATGAGCCACATTGAATTCAAATGTCATGATATTTGGACGAAATCAGAATGCATGGCGCAACTTTAGAAACACGGTTAAACGCCGAATCCTTATCTTTGTCCTTACTGAACATGCCCCCGCTAAGATGGACATTCTAAGAACGAACACAATCAAAATTATGTACCGCAACTAATACATGGCTGTATACAAATTTTCTACTGGGCTTCCCGTTCTAAGTACCTTTGCAATTCGCTGGGGTCAGATTCCTGAAATAGCAAAGTTTGATGTTATTGTAAGGTAGAAGCACAAAAACAACCTTGATCCGCAGATTTGTAGTACCCTCCGAGATTGAATCCCACGTAGTTAATGACCCTTTTGATTAATCCCTAGCTAATATTCTGACGAAAGCAAAAAATTGAAATTAGCTCCGGGTTTATGCTTATTCTGCCTGCTGGCAAGATATAACCCTGATTGTTTACCCAAGACTTCATTAGAAATGTGAACTTGTTTCCTATAACAAACTATCTATTCATTTTCAGAAATGAACTTGGAAGCGAGCCGACACGACGGGTGGCCCTCTCTCGGCACACATGCGATGGTCCATTGGAAGCACACGAATGTGAGAGTTGGATGAGAGAGTGAGACCATCGTCGACTGTAATGAAGCTCTACCGTAACCCTGTTCCGTTCAGCATACCGCTGCTGAAGCCGGCATTCTTGAAGACGTCTCCAATGTCTATCTGGGTGGTCGATTGTGTGCTGCTCGACAGCCGAAAAACGTCATCGAACCGCAGGACATCGGTTCCTATTACTATCGGCATTGCTTTGCGGGACGAGGTTTGTCATTTTGGTAAAGCAAGTCAATCAACTTGAAAACTCGAAAGAACCCTTCTCACCCTCCTAGTTTTCATTCCTGTGCTTGATTCAGCATAGCAGTGAGCATACTCTATTGGGCTACCCTATGCATATCGCTGGTTAGAACAATGAAAGATAAAAAATACGGAAAGATGAGAATTTAGAACACTAGGGTGCGGAATATTACTGACATCCATCTTGAGGCGGTTTGCAGGAGAGCTTCATGCGAGTCGCACACTGCGGAGACGACGCCGCTCTGATGTTTCACAATGTTCTCACACTAATTGGAGAAACAGACGCACTGTTATTTTGTGAAAAAGCAAATTGAAGCTCCACATCTTGTGAAAGAAGATACTATAGAATTCTGATTCATTTACCAATCGTTGCCATTTAATTGTCGAAATCCTGTTCCTAACCTACGAAAGCATAGTAGCGGGGTAAAATGGTTTAAGCGTTTGTTTTGTAAGGTTAGAACGTGATCCGCCTACCTTAGGCCACGTCTGGGTCTAATCGTCATCGAGCCTCACGCTATGCCGCACATTTATTCATCCTTGCCACCGAGACTTAAGCACACATACGATCAAACTTGTCGAGATGGGTGTACAAGAAATGAACAGCGGTTTGATAGACGCATCTCGCGAAAAAACACAACTTTTCTTTTTTTTCTGACAAATTTCTAGAAAATTCTCTCTAACATTAAAGGTTCAAACTTTATTGAATTCATAAATAACGCAAATTTCATATATTTCTACTTGGACCCTCCTCCACCCTCTCCGCCACCAACCATTCCCTTTCATGAGCCCCATGAGCCATGGGTTTTGCCTTTAACACTACCCAAACCAGCCGAACCTTCCCATCACCTCTGTAAGATAATGCTAATCGTGTTAGGGTTATAAATATAGGTAAACATCATGATCTGAGCATCTGCGCCTAAAATCAAACCCGCATTAAATGTCTCCACGACTGTGATTGGAAGTCGGATGCGTGGCGCATCCCAAGAAAGGGCTCTACAGCGCCGACTAGCTTTATTCTTCAAATTCAAGACAAAATCTTTCAGGAGCCTCTCAAGCGCAATCACCATGTGAAGACGATTCCGGTGACGGCAAATCGAACGAGATGCTGGCCAGTTGTCCAGCATTCAGGTAACCCCATAATCACTTTTTCTTTACTCTGAACTTCACTTTTCTATTTTTATTCACCAAAGAAGTCTTTTTAACTAGTTGTGAACTACAAACAGTGACAGTCTCAAGTTATTGTTTCATTTTTATGCATATGATTTTCCGGGTTTTTGTAGAATTTTTATGCAAACTTTTATGCATGAAACTTTTTCTGAGACCAAACAATATTCATCACTGATTTTGGCGCTATCGTAAGATACAGGGGCATCTTCTATGACTAACGCTAGAAAACTGCAGGTTTTTCGGGGAAAATGAGAATTGCTCACACACCCTGCAGTCTCTCCTAACGCGCCTAATACTTAGTCTTCCCTTAAAGAGAGAGTTTTTACGCGATTTTAATGCATTGCCACCAGAAATGCCCCCGTATCTTGCGATAGCGCCCAATTTTTTCCTATATTTCAGTCTGATTTTGCTAACTTTTTTATCCTGCTCCTAAAATGGGTTACCTGTTTTTTGATAGCGATTACCTTTGGAGAAATTTAAATATAATATAATAATATTGTAATA